TTACGAACTTAAAATAAATTTCGTGTTTCAATAAATCGATTAAATACGAAGTGAGCTTAACACCTTTTCAATGGGATTTTTTCAAAAATAGTTTATTTTTAAAAATGTGCATTTTATTTTTCTTTGATTTTTGGACACGTTAAACTTTCATCCTTGCGACTGCTTTTACAAAAAGAATTTTGGAAAAATGATAATATTTTGTATTTTTTAAAAAATGTTTTAAATGAAGCTTACGAGTACATTTTTCACATCTCACATCTTTAAAAATGTGATTTTGGCAACAATTTTCCTTTCTTATTGTTGTTGATAGATTTTTGATGAAATCGCATGATTTTGAATAGTTTTCATTCTTTTAGAAATATGGGTTCGGCCAACAAATTTCATCGTATTTCTTATGTCACTGTTTTTAAGAGATTGGCATATTTCATTGTCATTTATATATATATATAATACATTTTTATTGATTTTTTAATTAAGTTGTTCTGCAGAGTAAAATTGTGCTCGGAATTTTTTTGTTTTTTGAGTTTCTTTCATGTTATTTTTTGCTTATTTCACTCTTTGTAAGATATTGAAAAGTTTTGCATGATTTGTTTCTTCAATTTTTTTATTAGGATAATTAATATTTGTATTAATGGATATAGCTTATTTCACTGTTTTTAAGATATTGAAAAGTTTTGAGTGATTTTTTTAGGAAACAAAGTTCTTAACTTCCTTTATACCATTTGAGTTCTTAAGATTTTGCAAAGGGAAGTTCGTTAATTTATTTATAGGATAATTAATAATTTGTATTAAGGGATATTGCTTATTTCATTCTAATTTTGTTATACGTAATAACTTTTTTTTATGAAGTTTTTCTGCAGAGTAAAATTCTACGCAGGTTTTAAATTTAACGTTTGGTGTTTCCTTCAGCCATTTTCCCGGTACATTTAAAAGCCAGACGAAGGCTGGAACATCTGAACGCAAATGCTATCTTTGCATAAAACTATGCACATAAGAAAAATATTTACACCAATTATATATGCAAATAGAAGTCAGCACTTTTTATTGCAGTCTATATGAAAAAGATGTTCTGTAATAATAGCCAATGCAGATTTTAATTCAAAGTGAACTTTACTAGTTTGCATTCGTATACATTTAGTGTGTTAAATTTCACATTTAATAACTGTTCACTCTTAAATGTACTGTCTACACAAGAAATACTTATCAAACAGAATGAATTTATCTTATTCACAACGAATATATTCAGTTTATTCACTTACAACTTCCAATTTTAACAATGGATATAATTAGATCATATAAAATATGTATTCTGAATCTTACACTTTAAAAAGCAAAAGGATGCAAGCACTGAAATAAGAAAACGCTTAATTCAGTGTAACGCTTCCAGTCCGCCTCAGCTCAATTAAAAAAAGTCTATACACTTGAATTCTTTTAATCCACAGGTTTGTAACTTGAGTCATTTTCTCGATGTAAAGAGCGATAATATGTCGTGAACATCAATCCAAATATTAATGCGTGATAAAAATCGCGAAAGTGAAATGTCAGCGATTAATTAAACTCAGAAAACGTAAGCACTACGAGATTTTCTACTGTTACGCCATACATTTATAACTGCGAAACAAATGCAAATTAAAACGTAAACAGCATACGCTCACATGCACGAAGATTTAGCGTCACAAGAGCATTAGAAGCTCATTAGTCCATTTCGAAACCCCTTCCTCAGTGGCTACGCTGATGTGCACTTGTGAAATATGCGAACGGGCTGGCTGCATGTGCGTTTTCGTGGTTTTTCTCATATGTAACTTGTATACGAGCCATTTCCCTTAGAAAGTCCTCTACGAAGGCATTCCTCTCCTCAGCCAGATAGCTCAAGTGTGCTTTCCTGTAATCAACTAAAGCCAAACCAACCATGTCAATGCTGTGTTTTCTTAGTAAGATGGCTTAACAAAACTTTTATCTTTTTTCTATTAACCTTTTGTGTGTTAACTTTATTTATTAAATATCCTAGCAATATCAGAATTTTTTTTTAAAAAACAGCGCATGTTTAGTATTTTCCATAGACAGTCTCACTTGCTGGAGATAAAATGTTTTATTCCGCACAGTGTTGTCTCTGTTCGCTTTCTGATCATTGAGTTTGTTAATCCAAAATTAATTTAAAATACTCAATATTTTCATAGAATGAAGTTAATAAGAAAATATATAACTTCATTCTATGAAAATATTGAGTATTTTAAATTAGCTAGGTCACAAATTAAATGCATTTTTAATATTTAAATCAATTGGATTCAAACGTAAGAAATGAATATTTTCAAGAACTACATCTGTGCTTTTAAATAGCTTTGTTTGTTAATCTATAGCAGACATATTCAGTTTGAAAGATAATATACATTTTGCCGAATAACAATTGACTAGTCTTTTAAAAGACTCGAATGAAAAAGTAAAACGACGCATTTATTTATATTCGTTCCACACTAAATCCTAGTTCGAGACTAATAGCCTTTTTGGGCTAAAAAAAAGTATTGCAACATTTAAATCTGCATACACGGCACACTCATTCGCGTTTTTTAATAGAAGGTGATTAGGTGGTTTCATTAAAATCATAACGTATTTTTCTTTTTTTATGCTATTTTAGGTGGCTGGTCGTAGAAGCAGCTAGTAGAAAAAATTCGAGGAAGTTCTAGCAAAGTAAGAGAAAAATGAAACCCTAGCGTTTGATTTAAAATATTTAATCATGTTTTAGATTAGGAAAAGATTCGGAAGATTGAAATAACAGAAAAAGTGAAAAGATTCAAGTGTTTGAATCTCAAATCTTCTTTAAGATTTCGTGGTATTCCAGAAGTCGAATATTCTATTTTAATTAAAATACATTTAGCTTATAATATTATACCCACCTGATAATTTTATCAATATCTACAGCTCCGCTATAATAATAAAAAATGTTTTTAGTCCCATACATTACATAAGTGCGGCTGAATAATTTTTTTTATAAATATGTATGTTTTTTGTATTCTTTCATGTTTTTAATATTTTCTGAAATTTTTAACGGTATCTCTTTTGGAGTGTTAGGATTTTTCTCAAGTCATCAACTTGAAATTTTATATTAATTCATGTAATTGTTTTGGGGATGGGGAGAAAGGGCTTCTACGTCGAGATGTTTATTAGAAATTTGTGCCACCAAATATGTTATTTAAGGAAAATAATAACATAGAGTAAATCGGCATTGTGTCTAAGTAATAAATGTGCTTTTTTTTCCCTTTGAGTTTATGTTTCGTATTATTTTACGATATTTCACACAGCGCTTAAAAAGAAAAATCTGTTGTGGACACAACATTCGCTTTCTTGTATAGCCTGTAAAATTATACACATGTTTTTGCTGCATTTCATTTAAAATTATTTCCGTGAATTTCATTAGACATATATTTCTCATTCAATGAACTCAGTTCTCACTTCGTAGCAAGGCAAAAATACGTAAAAACTCAAGGCATGTGCATTAAAAATTGTAAAATAAAGAAAAACATAAAGCACCAAATGCAATTAAAAACAGTTAAAAAAAAACAATTTTTGCAATTAGAGTTTCTGTGCTAAAACAAGCAATTCGGCCAGCCCGGAGGAAGACAAAATTTTCGGTGCACAAAACTAAAGCTTAACGTTTGGTCACATTGGGCTAAAAGACACTGTAGTTGGTGCGCAAACTGACTTAATTCACTATTCTATTAAGAGTTTCAAATGTAAACAAATGGCGGCCTTGTTAAAACTGAAACCACTTAAAAAAACACCTTGTGTTAAATTTAAGCCCACTTAAACTTTTAAATTGTTGATAATTTTATATGTACGCCAGATTAACTAAAGGCATAAAAATCTTAACCGAAACATAAGAACAAAATAATTCAATCATTTATAAAGCAAAAATTTACCAACATATAAGAATAAAAAAAAAAAAAAAAAAGTTCACCGAGCTTGATAATAGAGTGTATACATAATATATAGTATATATATGTGTATGAACTGAAAAAGACGTAGCAGTGTTGATGGTGTAGCACGTAGATAACTTAGAACGTAAATCTATATTGAAGAGCAAAAATTTTGATTGCATAGGTTGCGAAAATGTTGAATCTGTAATACTGGGTAACTTGGCAGCCTAATAAGATTGAATATTCATTTTTATTTCAATTGAAATCTGTGACACAATTTACTTGGTGCTATAATCGTGCCTGTTCAAGAATATTTACATTTTTTAATACTGTTGCGATAGGGCACGGCGGAAAAGCATCCGAGCAGTTCAGAGGTAGAAGCGAAAAGGTGTCCCAGCTTATCAAAAGAAGCTCACCAAAAGAAGGTTTCGGTTTAGAAAGCACCAATTTGTTCTGAAAGCACCGATATTGCAGAAATCAGATTGGTGTGGGCGGAGGAATAAGAATACGGGATGTGAAAAGTCATATGTTTTTGAGGAGAGAATTAAAAATTTTACAGTCGACTTACGTATATAAAAGATACATTATATATTATTTTGGAATTAAATTTTTTGCGAATTTTCCCCTGATATTGAAACAGATATCCCCCCCCGAAAAAAGTAATATTTTTACCAATCCATTACTAGAGAAAGTAAATGGAAAAAGGGCTTGTGGTATTTTTAGAATCTTTGCAAAAAATTCAGTTCGCCGAAAATGTTTTACTGTGTTGTTTGTGCAGTTATTTTTTGCTTTTATTATCTTTTTTTTTTTTTCCTAAAAGGAGACACACATCCAGCGTATATACCTCAGGCATATGCATCGTAAAATCGAATGCACGCAATATTGTGGAAATTTTTTATACTTCCGTATTCGCGTGCTCACGCGGTCACAGTTTTGAAAGCAGTGATTTATCACTGGCTGCGACAGAGAATAATGCTAGAAATCCGGTAGATCAGTTTAGTGTTAGAATGATCATAGCTGCCAACTCTCACAATTTTCATCTCATCTTCTGGTAGATATGTAATCTTCCGCTTTTTGATCTCTAACCTTTACTAACGAAGACTACTAAGGTAAATATTTTCGAGCAAAAAATCAAACTTATTGAATTAATGAAACTTAAATTGTGCAAATTCCAGTTCGCTTCTCCCTAGTGATTTTCAGCATAATTTTCCTTATTATTATTATTTTTTTTTTTTTTTAAATCTGAATCCTCAGAATCTACTGTAGTTATTTATAGAACTTTTTATGAAGATTCAACTTAACTATACTCAGTTATTATTTGCATTTAAATTTGTTTTACATAAGTAAATCGTAAGTTACTGAATTTTGTTGAATTTGTTTTACATAAGTAAATCGTAAGTTACTGAAGTATGCACATGAATTATTAATTTTTATCGTTCTTTAAATAGGCTTTGGTAAATAAAAGCTTTTCTTTCTTACGCGGATTTTTCTCAATTTAAAAGCATAAGAAAATTAGAGAAGGAAATTAACTAAAGATTATAAAAAATATAGAATATCTAATTAAGTATTAAAGAAAGACGAAAAAATTTTATGTAGAAACATGTAATCATTCCAAGTATTTAAAAATTTCAATTTTTCGTCTTTGTGAAAAATTATTTCTAAATTTCTTTCTGTGTGTATTTACTAATTAAGTATTAATATGTTTTGCATGGGGATCATCCTTGTTGTTGAATAATGAAGATTCTCTTTGTGTGTTATGAGACCCGTATGTTGGTCTATTATCTATGGACTATCTGCTTAAGAGGAGGGATGCTTTCGTGGAGGACTTTATAAGGGAAACTGGCTCGTATACACGTTAAACATGGGGAAAACCACGAAAACGCCCATATAACCAGCCCGTTCGCGGGATTCGAAACTCGGACCCAACTACCAGCGTTCAGCGACTTTACCTCTCGGTCACTGGTGGGCACCCAACTGACAAAGAATATGCTGAACAAGAAACACGCATCACCAATGTGTTTAACAATAGAACAAACCGAACTACTTTATATTTCTTGCATGGTATTGCGAACCATATTGCATTAGAAACCATTAAAATGTCGAAACAATCGGTATAAACATCCGACATACACATTAAAAAAAGGGGGCTTTTAATATTACCTAGGGTGAAGTGAAATTCCGGAAGCTCTCAAATTTTTAAAAAAGCAGACAGGAAGGTTACAGCTCATTATACACACACCTACCGAAGTTAGCTATCGCATTTGGGATTCACCAATACTTTGTGTACAAAAGTGTTACGAATTAGGTGTATCAAAAGAAAAAGACGACGGATCAACTGAAGAAATTGAAAAAACTATTAGTAACATATTTCATGTCGAAATATAATACGTTTAAAGTTTCTCAGTTTTTATCTGGTTACGGTGTAAATTTGCAAGTTACCTGTTTCGTTTCAATGTAAGATCAAACAGTTTATGTGAATGTTCAGAAAAAATACCTCAAGATCTGGAACATTTGATTTTCTCATGCCCTACCTTTGAGGGCTCTAGATTATACTTGCAGAACGATTTGAAAATGTTCGGCGTGATTTGGCCGATGAACTTAATCTGATTTCGTGAAGTCCAGACTGATGTTCTTTGCTTTTGTATAATAGTATAATATGTACTAAGAAGCCTATTCAAACTTCCTTCGGTTTATAAATATTTCATTATGTTACCAATATTTTAAGTAACTTGTAGATTAGCCAGTACTCTTGCACTATCAAATTTAGTAGCAAATTTGATGAAATGTGAAAGAGATCTGTTAAAGCAAATGGAAAATGCCGGTGTAGTTAATGAATTTAGGTACACTAAGGAACCTTTTTTCTAAAAAAATTTGTATTAAAAAAGTTTCTTTTCTATTGAATTTTTTAATAATCTTTTTGCAAATGTTTACAGTGATATTTAAAAATATTTAAATAGATCTGTTCGTATATTATCATTCGTATCTGTATTTAAAATTATCTGTTGGTATATTTTATTCCTTTTTTAATTTTATTGTACGAAACTGAGTAAATACTGTAATCGTGAAAAATATCATAATTCAATGAAAATATCCATTTTGAGCACTCTCGAATCCATTTGAAGATGTTTTTGATGATCTGTACGTACGAACAGAATAAAGGACTCTTTTCTGTAAAACGGGATTGTAAAATGGATTTAAAATGAATTCAGAAGAGATATTTTCGTGACGTCTATACAGGCCCACCAGCGGCCGAGCGGTAAAGTCGCTGAACACTGGTAGTTCGGTTCGAGGTTCGAATCCCGCGAACGGGCTGGCTGCATGGGCGTTTTCGTGGTTTTCCCCATGTGTAACGTGTATACGAGCCAGTTTCCCTTAGAAAGTCCTCCACGAAGGCATCCCTCCCCTTAGGCAGATAGCCCTAGTGTGCTTTGCCATAATTAAATACACACACACGTGACGTCTATACCTATGTACGTATGTGTAATCTCGCATAACTCAAAAACGAGTAGCCGTAGAACGATGGAATTTTGTATATGGCACTTCTATGACATGCAGTGGTGCACTTCTGTTTTGCGTTGCAAACGAGCGCACCAAACCGATATATATATATATGCAGTAAAACTCGCTTATAACGAGCCCTGATTTAAGGAGAACCCGGATTTAACGAGGGAATCGAAAATACTTATTTTGTACAATGTTAAGTCTATGGGAGCATAACTCGCTTTTAGAGAGCAAACCCTGCTTATAGCGAGGAATAGTTTTGTGATTCATAAAATTTCTATTGAATTCCACCTCTCCAGCTCAGATAATCCTTTCTTGGAAAAAAAAATTTTAAACATTCTGAAGTCAACCGAAAGTTAGTGATGAGCCATCAATCCTGCGCATACTTGGCGGCGGCCTTTTTCATCTTAGGGAATGACCAGGATTAAATTTTTATCGCCGAATTCTACACGTATTATCGAGCCCATGGCCCAAGGGATCATCAGAATTTTTAAATCAAACTCTTGTAAGCACATGACGATTTTGATGCTTCTTCATAGAAGATAAAAAATAGGAACTTCAAATGCTAATGTAAACGTACTCGAAGCGATACCTTTAATGAAGGATGCATGGGAAAACATTACATCAACATGCATTACCAATTGCTTACGTAAGGCTGAATTGGACATTTCTCAAGAGGGGCAAATCACTGAGGAAGAAGAAGTAGACGCCTTGGAAAATTTGAAAATTCTTGTATCTGTTGATGCCAATGTTATCACTTCCCAGATACCTATTCTCGAGGATACTCTAGCTGAAATTCAAACTAATATAGATGAAAAAAATAATGACAGCGGCGGTGCTAGCGACGAATGGGAAGAATTTCAGAATGGCCTGCTTCTAACATACTTAGTGGCTTTTAAGTGTGCAGAAAAACTTCAAACTTTTTTCGAAGCCACGGGTACAAGTAACGATGTTTTTCGGGCCATGAGTCTTCTTCGAAAAATAATAACACAACAAAGAGAATATAAGGCAGTTCAAAAGAAATTAACCGACTTATTTCGTGCTGTATAGAAATAAAAAAATAAATAAAATATTTATAATACAGTAAAAGTATGTATGGATTTTTATGATTTTTTTACGAACCTGTTTTTTTTTACGAGCACTTGGCTGTAACGAGCAAATATCCGCGATGCCTTCACGCTCATTATAAGTGAGTTCGATAAAATTATATATATATATATATATATATATATATATATATATATAGTATAGGTAAATATATATTAATTATATAATAATATATATATATATATATTACATATATATTTACCTATACTGAATGCTTGCTACTGACTTCTAGAATACGGATGCTGTAAGATTATGTGACTTAATCTATTAAAACATCAGATATGCATTTTCCGAAATTGATATTTCATTTTTAATCACTTACAAATGCTAACTTGTCTTTTCGGTATATGTACAGCCCCTGAGTATATTAAACTCTAAAATTTAATATCTCCGTAAATTTTTGTCGTACTGAAGTGAAACTTTTTATGTTTTATTTATTTATTTTAGAATAAATACAAACTTTTACTAAATATGACTGCAGGGATTGAGAGTTATATTTTGTAATTTTTACAATTTTTTTTTTTTTTTTTAAATTTAAGATTAAAGTATTTTCATAACGGAAAGTGCATGTCCGTGACCAGCGGTTGCGAAAAGAAAAGCCGCATCAAAACTTTTGTGGACGCAGTGAATATGCGTAAGTGTATTTCAAAAATTACATTCAGAATGTTCTGAGATGCGCGAATTTTCAAAAATTTTGAGAATAAAGATTTTACTTAAAACTTTTAGTGAACAAAATTGTGTCTTTCAGTCAGAAATTCGAGCTGAAATCTTATACGATGTTTATCGAGCATTAACGAAAAAAATATTCAGAATATAGTTTACAGTTTTAAAATGGCTTAGCGTGAACCGTGTTCGGAAAACAGAGTTGAAATTAAAGAATGAAATGAAATTTACTTCTTTAATCTAAATTTAATTGACATTTTTATTGCCATTTCCGATTTTTTCTTCACTCCTCCCCCCTTTTTCCCTTTTTTTTCCTTTTCTTTTTCTTTTTTCTTTTTTTTCTGTCTGGTTTCGTGTGTGCTTCTTGTCAAACGAAACAAGAAAGCAAACCAATTAGCTGTATTCTCTGACTGAATGTTTCTTATCAAGCTATCGACCCGTCATTTTGTTCGACGAAAATTCCCTCACCAGAAATTCTTGAAGCTGGGAGTAGTGGAAAGAAGACATACTAGAATTTCGATTATCTTGGATATATGCAAAAGATGGTTCTGTTTTTAATTGCAAAAGAACAGTTTCCTTTTTCCGTTTCTCAGAATTGCGAAAGCGATGATTAAGACCGGATATAATACTAAGTAATTCCATAGAACGTCGCGTATGCGATAAGTTTTTATGATACTATTCGGTATTATTAAGAAAGTAAGTAAAGCTTCGGCGCCTGTGCTGCAGCCGTTGGATACATTTGGAGGCGGTATTGCTGAGTTTTTTATACTTAATCAAAATGCAAGGTAAATATTTTTGTATACCTGTCTTTTGTACCCCTATTTCCGTGTATTGCGAGATTCATTTTATAAGTGTACGTTATATCGAATGAAGTTTCTAAATTTTGCCAGTGTCTGTTGAACTAGGAATTGCATAATTTTTGCGTTTTAAACGTCTAAAAACAATCTTTATCACAGCTAGTACCTGTGCAGTTCTACTGCCGGATACAGCCTTTCCATTTCTGGTCAACCTTACATGCTGGAACAGGATTAAGAAAAAAGGTTCTGTAACATCAGTTTGTATATACTTTAAATAACAAACCATTGACTTTTTATTTGGAAATTAAGTGTAAGCAGTGTTTTTATAAGTTTTAATAACAAATTCCTCCATTTGAAACATTTGTTGATTCCTCCAATTTTGGCAAACCATTTCTCCCAGTCTTTGGTTAAATGATTTTCTGATGTTGCAGTTTTCAGATAGTTTAGTTTCAGAATAGTTACAAATAAATAGAAATATTTCCCCTTTTATTCAAAATAGCAGAAGTGTTATTATTGTTTACAGAAATAGCTTATTTCTAAAATTAGAAATGCCAGAGCCCTATGAAAAGCTGTCCAAAAAGGTGAATTAGTAAAATAATAAAAAATAGTGATGGTGAAAAAGCACAGAAGAAATAAAGATAGAGTAAAAATATACTGGAATTCATTTTATTGGGGGCTGCAACTGGTATTAAAATTTAACTCAAAAACTAAGAAGTTCACTCAAAAACTAAGAACTGCAGTGAACTGCAGTTGAACCTAATAACCTTGATACAGTGATGTATTTAAAAAGTTCCCTTCAGCTTAAAGTAAAAAAATAAATAAATGAAAAGTTTTTAGATTTTAATAATTGCTCAAAAGGGTTTGTTAAGGTCTTTTTATGCTCTCGCTGAGCTACTAGGCTATTGTTACACTCACTCCTGATAACCCTCCCCCCCTTTTTTTTTCCTTTTAGCTTTATTATTAAGCTTTGTTTTCTTTGTACTTACCCTGTATACAATTCAACAGCAAAATCACAAAAATTTTTAAAGCAGCACATGTTAAGAATTCCCAATGCAATGCTAATTGTAAGCATACTTTTAAAATATTTTTTCAGTCTTTTCTCAGTTTGTCATATCAATGTTCAGTTTTCTTCGTAAGATGCTTATGAAAACTTTTTTATCTTTTTATTATTAATGTTTTTGTGTTAACTTTATTTATCGAATATTATATTCTTTGGACTTACATCATATAAAATTCATTTCAGCAGCAAAATCACAAAATATTTAAAAACAGCGTATCTATAGAATTGCAGATGGACAGTGTTAGGTGCTGAGGATAAAAATATTTTATTCTGTGCAGTTTTGTCAGTGCCTTTTCAAATCATTGAGTTTGTTAATCAAAAATTCATTAAAGTTTTACAAAATATGAAATAAATAATATATTATATATACAAACATTATTCTATGATATGTTGAGTATTTTAATTAGATGGATCCATTAAATGCATGTTTATTATTTAAATCAATCCAGTTCAAAAATAAGAAATGAATATTCTTAAAATCTGCATCTCTTTCATTCAAATAACTTAGTTTGTTAATCCACCAGGTTCAGTTTGAAAGATATTATTAATGCAATTAATTTAAATTATCTTACATTTTGCCAAATGGCAACACACCAGAATGAAAAAGTGAAATAAGGCATTTATGGTGAAGGCAAAATCCCATTTCCAGACTAATAACTCTTTTGGTCTAAAAAAGGCACATTATGTTGAGTATTGGCATTTAAAAATTCCAAAATTGCCTTAATTTAATATTTCTGTTCTGTTTTAATTTGGAACAGTTGTTATTTTTTATGTCTGCAGTATGTTCTGATGAGGTATGGAAATGTAAGCAGGTTTTGATATTGTTACTGTTGTAGTACAGTGTATACAGTTTTAACTTTTATTGCTGTAATATTTTTCCTTTTAGCTAATGTTTGAGCTTGTTCTATAATTTAAAATGTGTGAAAGTATATATTTTTTAAACTTTATGTATTTATTGTAATTATTGATACAGATTTCATATGCTTAAATTTTTAATTTTTCTAGCATATTTTTTTAAACCTTGAATGTTTTTGCTTTTGTAGAGCACTGATAATGGAAACGGCAAATTCCAAGAAGAAAATGAATGCAATTTAAGTAATGGTGAAATTTCTATCATATCTTCAGAAAGTGCTTATGAGAGAGCTAATGCATTTGATTCAAAATTCATCATGTATACGACATCGCCTAGTCCTTTAGATGAAGGTAATAATTCTAATTAAAGACCATTATTTGTCAGATTTCTGTTTTTAAATTTTAAAGTTTTGTAATTTTTTATATGTTCAACTTATAATATAAATTATGGAAATAAAATATTTTAAAATGTATGCATGTCACAGAGGCTTATTTTATGCGGGGGAAACAGTATTAGTATAAATAATGCTGTAACTAAACCTAGAAATGACTCATGTTTATAGTCAAATTTGGTACAATCGATGATGCTATTGCAGTGTTCAGCTATTTAAATGTTGAGCATTCATTAGAAAGAATGCATGAAAACTTGGCAGAATTAGAAACTATTCATGATACTGATATTCATTGGACATTATGATGAAATGTTTTTTCCACTACCAGAAACAATGCGTCTACATTTGAGAGGACTAGAGAAATATAAAGATGCTATATTACAATTAAATATTATTCAAGACTGTATTTTATGTAAAAACAATCAAATAAATAACAACAGATTTTCCCCCCTCTAAGTAACTTATATAAATTATTTTTAATGATAATTAATTTGAAGTAGTGGTTAATATTATTGTTATAATTTAATTATGCATACTTAATAAGATTAAAATAAATTAATATTATAATTTGTAACTTTTTTTAATAAATGTTTACAAACAACAGAAATTTCTTAACATTTCTTCAACATATTCTAGGAAGTCTAATTAAGTTTTACTGTATTAGCTAAAATGCAACAAAATTACTCTAAACAAAAGCTAATAGTTTTTAAGTTAATAGTATTTAATTTGTCACCATGAAACTTCACACATGAATAAAATATTCTGTATTCAGTATTCATTGTTGTATATTTCTCCCTTGTGTATCTCTCCAGTGAAGTAAAAAGGTTCTGAAAATTTTTCAAGTATTCTCGTAATTTCTTTCCCGAAAACATTCAGAAAGAGCTTCTCTAAATTTTAAAATAGATTCATCCATGTTTTTTTCATATTGCTAATTAAATCAGCCAGCAAGATGAAAATAATCACTCATGGATTTGGGGTGCATAGGCTTTGCTTGATGAAGCAATAATAGTGAAAAGCTTCAAGAAAACAAAGATCTCTTATGTTTCTGATGGTATTGAAGATCATTGCTTGTGGCACAACTGACTGAAGATTGCTGCAGATGACAATGGTGACAATAGCAACACCTTGAAAGCTTATAGCAGCTTCCTGTAGCTATAAATGATTTGAGGCTTATAAATTTGCTGGAGACAACAATAAGAGTGGACAAGATTCAATATACAGGGGAACAGAAATGAATGTATCTTATTATATATTATAATGCTAATATTATTATGTATGTTTATTGGAATGTATGATTGTGATAGTTAACTGTTGTGTGAATAAATAATATTTTGATTAACAGTAATTTATCCATGAATATTTTTCATTTGTTATGTTCTTGCTCTATAACCATGCCCTTCAGAAATTATATTATTTCCTATTGTATGATTTTTCTGTAATTTTCATATGGTAAAATTAGTAGAAATATGGAAATATGCAATTAATGCCTGCATGTCTCTCTGCATGCCCTATCAACGAAGCCAAAGGTAGGTAAGAAGAAGCTAAGATTATTTATTTATGGGAAAGCTACGTCAGACACCTCTAATATTGCAATTTCCAAATCCACCAATTAAAAATTGTATTACTATAAAAAATTTTTACAAAAGCATGAGCAGTTGCAATTACACTATATAAATGATCATCCCCTAGTAATCTTCCAATCTGACCGAACCCATTTGAATAATTATTCTTATTGATGTTCTGTTCAAATCTAATCAAGCTCCAAAAATGAAATATAATATTCCTTTATCCTTATGATTTGTTGAATAAATTCATCACAGTAACTTGGTTTCATTATAACATTAAATTGCAAATTTAATTAACCCACCTTAGAAACCTGTTTTTGATGAAGAACCGTAAATTTGTATTAGCTTGCCAATTTTATCTTCGAAGCCCTTTTCTTACTCTTTTATATTATTCTTAAAAATACCCCTGCAAATTATTCTTAAAAATACCCCTGCAAATAATCCTAGTAGGAGTCCTATTATTGATAATCTATCGGTCTTCATATAACTATAAAAATATTTTTTAATTCACTTCCCTCAACTTTAAATCCTCTTACTGTGTCATATAATAACAGAAGATGAATGTGGAATATTACTATAGGTAATATAATATGAAAGATGTAAAAATATGAAGGAAAATTATTAGCAAATTACTAACTTAATTGACAACAGACCTTTTAATTCCTGATTTTAATTTAAGTATAACCCCCTTCAAAGCATCTGCAGTGACATCATTCTTTCCCTGCAATAAACTGCAATGCAAAAGCTTTTGCCTCATCACTGTTAAAGATTCAAATAAAGAAATCAAGCTTATAAAATATTTTAGTTGCGGTATAGGCATTCTCTTTCTGTGCTTACTTGTGCCTAATTAACACACCTCTCTTTGTTTAACTGTCTTTTTCATTATTTAAGATGTGAGCAGTGTATACAAACATTGAGGGGGCTGGTATCATACACCCAAAATGATGTGGACCACAAGAATGTTTCCAAAAATAAATTTATATTGTGATTATCCAAGTATTTGTGTTTTTTCTAAAATTCAAGCCATCCTCTATCATGTGCAAACCATATCTCTCTAAAACATCTCGACCATTATTAGGAAGTGAATTGGTGCCTTCCCTAATCAAACTTTCATCTAATATCAAGTTATCTAATCACATGTACTATTAATAAACCAAATGACATTCCATAAAATTTATTAATGCTCACCATTAAAAAAAAAACAACAGCACCCCTATATTAAATACCCAAATACCACTTATTCATAATTACTTACCACTCATTCATATTTTATTTGCATTAACAACCTCCTTCTTTATCAATACCAATACTATTCTTGACAATATAAATGAATAAATCATTAAATAATAAACTCACAAACCAAACTTCTCCATTGACACATAATCAATCAATCAATATAATGATATGTAAATAATTGCTTATCATCATACAATGACATACATGCTGATAAGCATTTATTTAGAAATACACAGTATAATGATATGTAAATAAATGCTTTATTCTTCTTTGAGAAAATGATTCAGTTACTCCGGATACTAATCTTACAATCTTATTCATTAATCATAAAACCTCATTTAATATCCATATTATTACTACTAAAGGAATATCATTTTGTAATCTTATTAACAAAACACACATTACCCAATTAATTCCTTCACATACTGAAAGGAATTGGGGGTGGGGAGACCACCTTTCAACTTTAAGTTAATATAATTGATCCTAATATTTCTATCACTTCTCTTCTGAAATAAGACAGAGATATAAAAATTGCTGAACCCAAACCCTAAACAAAATCCAAACCTTAAAATACATGACTCAACTGATGAAATATTATATATAATATTTATACATTATAATAATAAATCTAATTATATTCACCTCCAATCTCAATAAGATTAAAAATCAATCTTGACATCATTTCAAAATGTCTGAAATCAAAAGCTATAAAGACTAAACTAAAATATTTTCATTTATGAGCTAATGAACCCATTGCCTTTATTTAGCCGACCTATTTTTTTTTTTTTTTTTTTTTTTTTTTTTTTTTTTTGTTTGTATATTTACTTTATTATTTTTTTTATTTTATCAAAATTTATAACCCAAGTTCATACATTATAATTTTAATTTAAAAAATGAGAAAAAGAAATAACAATTAAACATTATATGTATTTATAAAATAATCCTTTATTAACACTTATTAAATTGCAAACCTGAAAGATTGAAATTAAAAAATTATCTGCACTGGAAAGAAATAGTGCATAAAAGTCAACAATGACCAGACCTTAATATCTTTTTTTCTTCTAACAGGCAGGAAAGGAAAGGAAAGGTCCTTGAGAAGAAAATTAAAATATTAAAATTTTAAAATTGAAATATTATATTTAATGATTTTAGTTTTATTTGCAGTGTGACCAGTATGCTTACAGCTTTTTTTTTAACAAATTGTCTGTTATTATATGTTTTAAATGCAGATTCTTAGTAATTACTTATTATTTCAAATCTTAGTAATTACTTATTATTTCATTTTTCATCAAATCTATATTAATTTTTTAATGCATATTAAAAAAAAAGGAAATGTAAAATGTAATAAACTAACATTCTAGAACAGGCATATTTTGTGATTCTTTCACATAAATTTTTATTCTTGGTTTATAATTGTAAATTGAAATGCATATAATAAATTATTTGTTTTTTACAGATTTGATGTCCATATCGGCAAGTTTAGCTGATGGAGAATACACAGTTTTTGATCGCATTACATATTTAGGTTGTGCTGTGATCAGTGATCCAAAGAATGAAACTGAGATTAAGAAAAGTATGTCTGTTCTAAATGGGCAGTCATCAGCTAAGGTTCTCAGTATTTCCCTTTCATTACCAGTGAATTCTGAAGGTTATATTATGTAAGTTTAGTGTGTTTTGCTATTGTTTATAACCATAATAAATAATTGGGGAATTAAAACTGCAATGTAACATTGTTCATAAAAGAATGGCTTTACCTTTTTTAAGCCTCAAAGCATGAATCAAATTTCATATATAATTGAAATGTATTAGTGGTGGCACCACCCAGCCATGATAATGGTTTGTGGCACTGACTGCCATGCCAAAGAGCCTGGGTTCGAATCCCAGAGAAGGCATGGATGTTTGTAAATGTATAGTGTCTGTGCAGCATGGAGGCACTCTAAATATGTGGCAAGCCAAAAGTTCTCTTGAGTGGTTGGTGGTAAGGGAAGAGGAATGAGAGACCCTTGGACCCGTTCCCTGAAGTGCTCTCCATCAAAATTGGGACGAAACTGAGCAATGTTGTACTATCACCTATATAGTTTTTTCTCAAGGCTATTGCCACTAACAGATGCAATCTTGGCCCTCTTGCTATGATGAATGTTCCATGCTTCGTGGGCTTGTCCTGACATTACTGTCAGACAAGTAAGATCAGTAACAACAAGATATTAGTGGTAACTGTAAGTTAGGCAAAATTTAGCCTATTTAATCTACCATCTAAGATGATGTTTTGACTAATTTTAAGTTTTGATAATTATACAATTTAAATTAATCCTAGATCTGATTTAAATTCAATATATGAAATTTAAATCTCCTCAGTTTTTATTGCTATGGATTTTAGACTTTTTTGAATTTTTATTACTATGGATTTTAGATTGTTCTCAATTTTTATTAGTATGGATTTTAGACCATTTTCAATTTTTGTTACTATGGATTTTTATTATCTCAGTTTATTGTGTAATTAGATGATGATTCTCCTCACTCGGGATTTGGCGATTAAGTCCCCTAAAAACCCCAGTTGCCCTTTAAAAGGGGGAATATATAAGGTATTTCTCCCGCCTTCCTAGCTTGCCTTTGTTTTGTAGTGGTCTGTATGCTGGGCACGTATTACAGAGGTTCACTGTTCGATTCCCGGCGAAGGCGTTGCATATTTTGCAATCTCTCTTGCTTCCAAAAAAATCCTAACGTCTCTACAAAGAAAAAGATATTTAATGACATTTAAAGAGTTTTAAGATTTTAGTAGTTTGGTGTTCATTTTTATATTATTTTCAGTACTAAAAACAAACATGAGTAACTCTTCAAAAAATCTAGAAATGGAGCTAATTAATTTACACTGTGACATAAACCTTATTCAAAGATTTGAAGATACAAATTTGATTAATTTTATTAGTAATTGTTAAAAGCTAAATGTTCTCAAGAAGGAATATTTACAATAAGAATAATTGCTTTGTTTAGGAATACATTTACATGTGAACAGTTTTTTTTTTCATGATTGAAAATCAATAAATCTCAAATAGAACCAGACTGCCGATGAGTATTTACAATTTGTGAGTAATATACTTTCTAGTAATTTTCCTCCAAGATTACAAATTGTATGAAAATTGAAACATCATGAGATGTTGTAGCTGAAGGTATATTAAAGAACAAAGTTTATCTGTATGTGTCCTACTAATTAAAAGAAAGGGGATTAAGTTTCATTTTTATTCTCAAGTTTTGTCCCTCTTCAAATGTTTCTTTATAATTTAGAAGTAAGTTACAAAGCGATTTCTTTAATATGTTTCAATTATTTGAATAAACAAAACATCAGTTTGAAATATTTAACTATCAGTGCAGTTGAATTACATATCCTGGCCCTCCCCCACATTTAGCTACTTTTAGATCATGCATTTGAACCATGTGCAGTCTGAGTTTGAGATCACTGACCTACATCATACCTTTTTTTTTCTTTCTTTTTTAGTTTTATTTATTAAACATTCTTCACATTTATGCAACATAAAATTCAGCAGCAAAGCCACAAAATTTTTAACAGCAGCATGTGTTTCGAATTAGAAGTGTTGCTGTTAATTTGTTTTTCAGGTCATCATATCAGTGTTTAGTTTTCTTAGTAAGATGACTTGCACAACTTATTTTGTCTTTTTATCATTCGCTTTTAGTTTTTTTAGCTTTATTTAGTAAATATCACTTTCTTTACACATACGCTAAATAAAATTCAATAGTAAAATCACAAAATGTATGTATGAAAGCATATTTTTAGAATTTCCAATGGAATATTGCTTTTTTTATGTTTGTTATGTTATTTCTTTAAAAATAATACATGATGATAACATTAAGTGGCAATCTGCTCTTTTTAAGTTCATATTTTTTTTTTATATATTCATAGTTTTATTTTCTTAAAAACATGCATGACATTAACATTTGGTGGCAACATCCTTTTAATTGAAAAGCGATAGGGTCTAAAAAGTGAGGAGACTAACTGTCCAATACTAAAAACAGAAACAAACTGTAGTTGAAATAACTTTGTAATTAATATAAAAATCATTATTGTATATAAGTTCCATTTCAATAAATTTGGATTTACTTTGTAATTTAAAATAAACAAAAAGTCTGTAAAACTGTTTGTATTAGCAAGTAAGAAACTGTATTTTTATTCATTCAAAATGCGAATTAAATTTTAGAATCCATATTTTAAAATGTTCCCTATGTTTCGATAATTGAATGTTCATATAATGAGACATAAATTTTAAGCAATGATATGTGATTGAAGTTTCACTGCATTTGTATCAAAATTCTAAATTGAAATTTTTGAAATTTCTGAAAATTCTAAATTGAAACCAATTTTTTTTTATGAATAACCACATCGATCCTGTTCGAAACTATATTCATCAAATCAATTGTTGTGTCAGGCATTACATAATTTAGTTTCTCTTGATATATTTCAAATCATATGTGTTCTGTGTATCACATGTACTAGTTTCTTGATTATTTAGATGGATTTAAAAATTTTATACCTTAGTTTTCCTCTTAAATATAATAATTTAATTTAGCTGAAGCTATTATTGATAATTTAATGAAATTATAATTAATATTGTTTTTAATATATTTCATAGTTTATATGAACCAAGTTCATCAAATGAAATTGCAAGTTTTCCAATACTTCAAATTAGTGCACATGTTATTGGTGAAACACAGTCTGCAGAGGCCAACTGTTTAGCTTTGGTTCACAACTGTAGCCAGGGTACTATTCCAGAATCAACAGTTTTTCAGTGTCATGTGTTTCGATGTGAAATTCCTGAAGCTGTAAGTTAATCCTCATGAAACTGTAATTGAACTTTTACACAAATATAATAAAATATTTCCAAGTAATATATATTTGTCTGAATGCAATTTGTCCTTTCTATTTTAAGCTGTATTAGCCAATTGAATTTGTGATTTCATCACTATATTTCTATAGTTTGTTGAAAAGTGTGGAATTATTGTTTTATTAAAGTTTTTTATACATTTATAGGTATCCAAAATTATGCAATGTTTCACTGCAGCTGTAAAGAAAATACCCAAGTTGCCCATACCAAAGTCTGAGTCTTTTGAAACAATGCAAGGAGGCTCTGAATCTGTAAATAAAAGTAATATTTTAACATACATCTTTGATGGATCCTTAGAATTTAGAGAAGATGATTCTAAGGTAATTTCCATGTTTTTCAAAATAAGTAGTTAGTATCTATAATAAATTATTAAATGTATGTAATGAAAATTAATAAACTCTGTAACAAAAATGTTTAACTGCTGAAAATGTCAAATTACTATTTACAAGTTGCAACTCTGTTGGATTGGTGTATACATATAAGAGACTATCAATGGCAGCATGGATCCAGTGACTTTATAAGAGCAAAAACAAAAATGTAAAGGGAGTTTTATGAAGAAAATTGACAGAAATCTGAATGGTTTGTAGCATATTTTGGGGTGGGAGATAATAATCCAGTTACCATAAAAAATGGAAAGAAATATATACAAAAACAAGTAATAAAGCAATAAATTACTTAAGAGGCAAACCTTTTTATACATTAGGGGTATTGTTTTTCCATTCAGAAACCATTTGGCATACACCTTATACTATTGCACATTTTAGGATCATGGATGTTTCTTTAAGTAATCATGTCAGATGAGTGAGAAAAAATTGGCATCTTATTGTAACTAATATGCACACCAAAATAAATAGCTGTACATGATCTCAGGAAAATGCAAGTCCTTAACACATGAGAAGTGTTTTGTAATATGTATATCACTCACAGACAAGAATTTTATTCAGTAGGCAGCAGCAAATTGCTCTAAAAGGCAATTTGTTTTACTCTCTTTGAACTGTTATCTTCCTGAATTTACTCAAAACTGATTGCCAGCTGACCCATCCTGGCTCACTGAGCTATATTATGTCACCAGGTCTTCTGAAAAATATCTCTCCTTGAGCTTTGAAAATGCTTTTTCTCAAAACTTCCAGACAGCTGCCAAATGGCAAGAAATTGCCTGTCAGGAGGGTTTTTGCCCATATTATTATGTTAAGACTTGCAAGATTTGCAATTCTGTATTTTAAAAAGAAAGCATTTGTTTATGAAATATGTGACTACAAGTTTTATTATGCAAAAATGAACACTAATATCTTAGCTAAAATTGAAATAAATGAATAAGTAAAACAATACAGTATTTTGTATTATAGCAGTACACAAAAACAGTATTGCAATTAAATACATTTAAATGTTTGTGGAAATTTATACCATTACTATGCAGCTAAAATTAGAATTTGTCTTCTTTATAGCTTTTTTTTTTTTTTTTTTTTTTTTCTTTTTTTTGCTCGGGGGGGGGGATGAAAGCGAAGAACATAATAATTAAAATTTTTAAGTCACGTAATTTTAAATAAAGTATCTTGAAGGTGGAGGTCACCCTTTTCCATACATTTTGCAATCAATTTTTAAAGTTCCTTTCTACATATTCCAACATATCCACTGGAATTTGTGCTATTTTCTGCCAAATAATGCCCTTCAGCTGAGGCAGATCTAGGTATATATGATAACAGTATGGTGTGCATAGTCGAGAGTTAGAATTATTGGTCTATATTTTAGGGGGAGGTGGCAGTCAAGCATTAACTGTCAATTCACAGCACTATGTTGATTTGATTCAAAACTTTTTTGAACCAGCTGTAGCAGAAATATATTTTGAAAATCTCTGGCTTCAACAGGAGGGTGCCACAGCCTGCATAGCTGCAGCTTTGATGACAGTTTTAAGGGCAATGTCGAATGGCTCATCTCAGTTCAAAGTGACATCCTGTGGGTGGCGCACTCACCCGATTATTCTGTAGTGGTTCTGAAAAACTCTACAAAATCCTTAAATAAATTAAAGCTTAAAATGTACAAATAAATGAAGACAAGCCATTGTGTCCTAAAGAAAACCTAAACAAATTAACATGGGGTAGTAAAGTGACAGGAAAAGAAACAAAAGCAACACATTTATTTCAATCAACTAAGTTATTTATTTTGTTATAGATCTTTCCAACAACAAAAATATTAGCGTGATCTCCCAGTAGATAAAATAATAGTAGGTAGCTAAAGGTTATTAAATATTTATATAAAGGAATAAGAAGGATTTACCACATGTTTCCTATTACTAGCAAGAATAGAAGTTGTATTATGTCCTAAGTAATAGTGTATTGTGTGTCAAATGCAGTACACATATATCAAAGGTGCTTTGAAAGTTTGGAAAGGAGGGAAGAAAACCATCCTCCATCCTAAGTGGAGTATATCATGTGAATGTAACAAGAATGTGGTACTTATCTTAGCAGACTGAAGAATCCTTGCCGTCTCACAAGAGGATAAAAAGGCGAGGGCCCGACAGTAATGGTACAGTGATGGTAAAAGACGAGAACATCAGTCTGAAGAATCTGGCAGAGGAGTTGGAGAGATGGTAAACTGCTGAAGGTACACAACCCTTAGTGGTACTAGGGATAAGTTAAGCAGGCAGATTTTGGAACCTAGGGAGAAATCGTAGGTAACTGAAAAATATACCATTGTAGATGAAGAAAGGTACTATATGCTCTGCAGCCGCAAAAGGAAATATTAATTTGTTTTAATGTTCTCCATCTAAGCAGCTCCTTCACTGAGTTGAAACATCAGGAACCAGTACATCATTCACTATCGATCTTTATCAGTTTTTTCCTGTCCTTGCAAGCGCCCAAGAAGAGTAACACATAAAATGAAGGAATTGAATCAGAGGGATAAAGCAAACTCTGTCTAGCATGAAAGCCATTTTAAAGATTGAAGGCTGCCATGTTCCAGATAATGCCCCAAAACAGGAGAATTTGCAATACCCATGCCAAGAACAAAACCAAACAAAAATTTTCACTTCTTCCTTCTTCCAGTTCCACCTTTTTTAATGGATAACACCAATCATGCCAATAAAAAAAGTAACCCTTTTTTTTTTGCTTTCCAACCCCGCAGAAACAGAAAGCAGGGTGTGTGGAAAAGTGGAAACAACCATCCATCTGCTATAAGTTTAAAACAGTATTAAAAAGTAGATTTTGAAAGCAAGAAAATCCCCTCCATTTCTGGTGAAAGTATATATGTATTTGCAAATCATTTCTCAATTAACTTATCTTAACAAATATAAGTTTACCAGAGAGGCAAAATTTTATTGTATATTGTGTATAAGTTTCATGTTGATAAATCAGTAATTTGTATTTTTATATTGCAATAATACTAAAAAAGTACTTAAGATGCATGTCTGTTTTAACCGAGGGAAACTAATTAAAAGTCGAGTATCTTACTTTTCCAAAATATAGGAAACTAAAACAAATTAATTATTAACAGCTCTAATTAAAGGTTACATAGTAATTTAAAGTGTATAGCTGAAATTTGGAATATGAGTTTAATGAATAAAATTAATTTGATTACATAACACAATCTAATGTCCTGTATTTTTTTAAACAGAGATACTTCTTGGTAGAACTTTTTTAACATCCTGCAGACCTGCTTCCGTTGAAGAATGTTATTTGGGAGAAATGGCATGAATTCCACTGTATGTGGACATGTCATAACGGGTAGAGCGGAACTTCAGAAATTGATTGTGTATGCACATAGGGAATGATGCCTGCCACCTTGAAGATATTTTGTTTAAAATTGCATGATTTAAAACTTTAAATTATGTTCTTCCCTTAAGAGGAAAAAAAAAGTCCATTAGCAATACTTTTTCTATTATTCACTTTTTTAAAAAAAGGAAGTTTCTCTGCCCTGCTCTGTACTAAACTTTTAAAAACTATGTAATTACATTATTTTTTTAAATGCACTTAAAACTTGGATCTTGATTTATACAAAGATAAGAAATTTGTGTTATAAAAAACTTTTATTATTATTATTATTATTATTATTATTATTATTTTTTAGGGTGGTTATTCATCCTGCCCCAAAGATAAAGACTACTTTAAATTGCGATGTAAACTTGAGAAAAGTGTTACTCTAACAGTTCAACAGGTTTCTGATAATAAGGAACTTGTTATTGATAGGTAAGTTTATTATTATTTTTTTACATTAGTTAATTTGCAAGATAGTTATTTATTTTATAAGACAATTTTCTTGATGATTCATTTAAATTTAGATGTTTCGGATTGCTTATATCGCCTGGGAGGAATGTCCGTAATAGTGATATGCAGCTTATAGAAATGGTAAGTTTTTCATAAATAAATTCCTAATGGTTGTTTTTATATGCTTGGGAGGAAAAAATATTTTTGTATATATATCTATTTCCAAAACTGAAGTATTGTTTTTGTTGGCGTTCTGGAAAACTTGCAGTAAAATCCAAAATATTTCGAGCAACATTTAATGACTGTTTATTATATCTGATTTTTCAGAACCATAATTTACCACAAACTAATAAAATTGCTTCAGCAGCAGAGATTTTAATAGCACATGTATATGTACTGAAGCCCATTATAACTGGCAAATGTATATTATGTAAGTTCAATACATTGCATATTTGGGTGTTATTAGAAAGTTCTATCACCGGTGTAGTGACTGGGTGTGAAAGAATTGTCCCAACATAGTCCATGTGTGTCATGTGTGTTGTAAGAGGCAACTAAAATGGATACCTAGTGCCTGGGGTATAGCAGGGTACCTCTGTCTGTAGGAGATTTATAAATACAGAGGCCTGGTCCTAAAGGTTGGGAGTTGGGCATAGGGCTAACAACCTTATCCTGTAAAATTTTACTTTTTAGAAAATTGCAAGAAGAAAATAACCCATGGCTAACTTCAAGGAGACAAACTGGAAAGGACTCAAAGGATTTGAGAATTGAATCATGGAACATTCATTCTTTCTATAGAAATAAAGGACTACAAATGCTTATTGAGCAGTTTTATGATTATAGAATTGATATTTTAGCCATGCAGGAAGTTAGATGGATAGATAGGAGAGGGAATAATTGAAAAGAAAAAGCATACAATGATCTATAGCTGTGATAAAAAGACACACATGTTTGATACTGGTTTTATAATGAGTTAAGCAAGTTAGACCATAATTAATTGATTTTGTGACCAAGTCAACTAGACTTTGTAAAATAAGAATAAACGGAGTCTTTTTTAATGAAAGTTTTATTAATTTTATGCCTCAATAGAGGACAGGGATGGGTTGGAGAAGGAGCTTTTCTATGATGATTTGCATGCATTAAGTGCTTCCTGTCCAGGAAATTATGTGAAAATTTTATTGGGAAATGCAAGTGCAAAAATAGGTAAAGAAGAGAAATTTAGAACTGCAATTTATAATGGTAAATTAATATTACGAGGGCCATCCAGGAAGTAGATTACGTTTCCGTCTGTGTCCGCTAGGGGCGGGGCTAGCGCGGCCATCTTGGGGTCAGAGCGTTGCGCAGCTCAGTCTGCATCTAGCCGTGCTAGTGAGAGGTTCGTGCTGTGCTCCGTTCAGATACTGTGACGGTTTGAAATGTCTGCGTTAATTGAAAATCCCGCGAGCTGCGAGGTGCGCTCAGTAATAAGGTTTCTGACTGCAAAAAACTGTAAACCGATAGAAATCTATCGGCAGCTTCGTGAAGTGTATGGGGACAACATTATCACTGAAGGTGGAGTGCGTCAGTGGGTCATAAGATTTCAAAATGGCCGAACCAATGTTCACGACGAAGATCGAAGTGGGAGACCCAGCATAGTGACCGCCGAACTTCTCGAAAAAGTCGATGTTAAAGTCCGTGAAAATCGAAATTTCACAATAACGGAACTTTCTTTGAGTTTTCCACAAATTTCGCGAAGTTTGTTGCACGAAATCATCAGCGAAAAGTTTGATGACGACGCACAGCTGCAAGAAGAGGTAACGAAGTGGTTGAAGGCGCAGGCGGCCGAATTTTTCGACGAAGGAATTTCCAAGCTCGTACATCGCTACGATAAATGCCTTAATTTGTATGGTGACTATGTAGAAAAGTAGTATTTGAGTGTGGCTTTCATCTGTATATAATAAAATTTGTTTCCTATGCTTTGTTTATTTTTTTATTCCAAAACGTAATCTACTTTCTGGATAGCCCTCGTATAATGGTAAACGGTAATTTGGAACAGTAAATATAGTCTCCTCGATTTTTCAAATGACAATGGCAAGCAACTTATTGATTTTGTGGCTAATCATAATATGAACATAACAAGCACTATTTTCCAACATAAAAAGATGCGTAAAATGACATGGAGCTCTCCTGATGGAGGCACTTTCAATCAAATAGATCATTTTATTATTGATTCAAGGCCTATGTCAAATATACTAGATGTAAGAACAATCTGAATTCCGATTATTTTTTATCCATGGCAAAAGTTAAAGCACCATGAATTTATTTGGGCGATGCAAATGCAACAATTTGTAAAGAAGAGGAATTTAGATTTATAATTGGTAAATTTAGTCTCTATGATTAGCAGTTCTCATGAACTTAGTTCTTTGAATTTGTAAACCATGACAGAAGATTTTCTGCCATGGTCATTCGTAAAGCTTTAAAAAAATGTTCATTTTGCGATTGACAAAGACATTCTGTTTTTAGAAGTAAGCATAATAATTATAATAGTAAGCAGGTCATTATTCTGTTTTATCCTTGAATCCATCACAAAATTGCTCTGTGACTCTCCACAAGTTCAATTTTTAGGTCATTTTTTTAACCTCTCAAAAAAATTCATGGCTTGAATGTTAAAGATCCCATCTCTGATATTAATTCTTAGAGAACTTTTGGCATATCTAATCAGTGTGGTTTGACATGTATCATATAACTAAAAGAGTGTTAAAGTTTCACATCAAGGAACACAAATATTATGTTTGGAAGGGAGAAATAAACAAATCTTCAGTAGTTAGGCATTTAATCACATTTTTGACTTTAGGTCTGTGAAAATCATCCCTAAAGTTTTTTCAGCTAGTAAACTAGATTTCCTTGAATTTTTTCATATTTGGAAAAAGTTGTTTTCTGTAGTTAATGACATTAATTTTAATTCAGTTCCAATTTTAGAAATTAAGCCCTGGATCAAGTATTGCATTGTTGCTGAAATGTAAAGTCAAGTTTTAACCTTTTTCATTCTGAGTTATTCTAGTGTTGGTCAGGTTCATCTTTAAATTGATTCCTTTGGATTTTCAGAAGAGTACTTGGAAAATGGAATAGCATGTTTCAGTATGCATGGAATAAAAAAAATCTATTTTTATTTGTATACATGACTGGCAAAGTATGAAGTGCTGGCATACTGTAGAATATGTAGGCATTTTATAGAATGCCTTGCATTTTTAAGGAAAGATGTAATATGAAAATTATTATATACTTTACCTTTTTTAATATTATATACTTTACCTATATTGTATATAAAACCTAGGCAAATTATGAGAAAAAGATCATGTTAAGGTTATTATTATTATTTCCATTTATTGAAAAAAAAATATATTTCCTTGTGCACAGCAAAGTATTACACGAGGCTTACAGAAATGTAAGTAAAAAAAGACACGGCAACTTTAAATAATACAATTAGCTCAAAAATCTTTGACTGAAAGGAACACATGCAAAAGAGAAAAATAATGTACAAAGAAAATAATTTACAGTATTCAAAGTAAACATCGATAAAGTCATTAAAAGCATGGTAGGCCGAGGGGTAAAGAAACAAAATCATGACATTTTGGTAGCCAGTTAATTAATTCCAAGATTATTATTTAAAAGAAGTTCATTTCTCAAAAATACAAATGATATTTTCAAAAAATAATGAAAGCCTGCTATTAAAAAAATTTTATTCAAAATATGTAAAAAGGAAAGCAAATTCGTATGAAACAAAATTTATCCCTTTCCTATTAAAATATATATATATATATGAACCTATTTGTTGCATCAAGAAGGAAGTAATTTTATTTTGAATTTTACTTAATGTTTTCCCTTATAAAAAGTAAAACAGGGTCATTAAATGAACTTTAAAAAAAAACTTTACAAAAATACACACATAAAAAAAAATATGTATATGTATATAAAAATGTAATATTTTCTTAAAAAATAAAAGATTAAATTTAACCTATTTGTAACATGATAGGCTTAAGTGATATTTGGAATTGCACTTTACTTTTTTCATGCAAAGACATTTCATATTTGGACACTTTGTTTTACACATTTGATGAATCCTTGGTTGCTTCCACTGAACAATTGCAATTGACTGGAGAGTAATTTTGTGGTTAGGAATATTCAATTCTAAGTAAGTTCTTAAGGCATAAAGTGAATTCTGATCTTGCATATAGATGTTTGAAAACTCCCTCATAAATTTTAAATCAGTAAAAACTGTCTTCTGTCATACTCATTACATCTTAACAAAATATTGAGTGAATCATCTTGGCCCTTACCAACGTCAAAAATAGCAACTCGCATAGCAGTTCCTAAAGAAGCAGTGGGAAACTTTTTCCCGACCTCAATTTTTTTTTTTTTTTTTGGCTACATTTCCTGACTGATTTTAAAATTAATTTTACTATCAATAGCATTTTCAGCTTTGAAACAAAGAGTGCACAAAATATTCATTTCATCATCATTACTAGCATGGCCACAGAAATTCTAAAAATTTTTTGACGACACTTTGTGTATGTGTGTGCGTCATTGGTTATCTATAAACACAAACAACAGGCAACAGGAATGGAAAACTCTTCAATAAGCTTGTCATCATCATGTTGGTTTAATCCACCCTTGAGTGTAACCTCATCCATGTTTTTTGAAAAAAGCCTCTTTTCCTCGCATATGTTTTATTTCTTCATAATATTTGGATGCTTTCTCTACTTTTTCTAGTTGTTTTTCTGTATTTATGTCTTTTAAAACATCTTCGTTAGGAAAGAAGCTGTAAGACTTAGTATAAGTTTGCAACCAAAAAAGGTTTCGTATGGTATTCTTTTGATTCCAGGAGGAGCTCTATTTTTCATAAATTGAATGAATTTGACACTACCCTGGCTTTGCCAATGGCAAGGCTTGCTATTGATGATCTTCAATGCTGTCCAGAACTCTCTCAAAAAAAGCAAAGTTAAGCTACCTCTGCTTTTTTTGACATCAGAATATTCAGAATCATAAATTTTGTGAGATAGTCTTGGTACACCATAACAAATTTATATTCTTTACTTCAGTCTAATAACAAACTGTTATTAGGCTGAGCCTGGAAATAAATAAGATCTGCCTGACAGTGGAAATTAAATTCTGAAAAAGTTATAGATTTCATAATAATACCCTTTATAACATCTTTTCATTTTTCTCTGACAGGCCCCACAAAGGTGGATGTTCAGTTAAATGTTATGTGTAATTTTTTGTATTTGGCTTAAAGTCCTTTCAACATTCTGTCATGTCCTCCATGTACAATAATCAAATGAGTTTAATAAAATATGTGAAATAACTCAGTGTCTGGAATGTAATACTATTTAGTACTGATGCCTCCTATAATAGAATAAATGAGTTTACTTTTGTTTTCCACAAACATCACATCATAGTGATTTAGCAACTAGTAGTCCCATGGTACCTTCTTAATCGTCATTTCAGCTTTTTTAACATCATTTATTAACTTCTGGTAAGTAATTTGGTTAAGAACAAACTGTTTTTGCAGCATTAACTTGAAGCTTAATAGTTCATCTTCAAACTGCCAATGCATGTCTATTAATTATATATAAATAGCAAACTCCCGAACAAAGCACAAAATGCAAATTGCAAAATCTGTATCTGAGTGGTGGACATGTATTTTGACACTTTGAAAAAAGTGCAAAATGCAGATGGCAAATTCTCAACGTGAGTGAAGCAACATTCAGCTCCTAAGTCAAATGCCTTGCCACGTAATATTTGAAACAAATCGAAGATATATTTCATGCATTGTCGGTTTGCCATTTGGCATTCTATAGAATACCTAGGCAGTGTGTGAAATGTTTATATGTTTCATGCATAGGGCCAGCTAGTTTTCAGCATTCTATAAAATACCTAGATATTCTAAAGAATGCCGGATTTCATACTTTGCTAGTAAAGTATGGAATTATTAGGAAAATCTAAAATTATTGCGACATGCTTTAGTATTTTTGTGTTTACTCATAATTCTAATATCTTAGTTTTTTCACATATCATTACTATTTTCTTTGACAGTTTCTAATTTTCATATGATTATAATTTTTATTATTACTTCAAGATTTCATAAGCATATTTTCTTTACCTTGTTGAACAAAGGAAATTGTTTTAACTTGTAATCATGTGTTAGGAAGTTACTGAATAATTATGACTGGCTTTCGAATTGAGTTGTTAATTTTTGTATAATTAATTTTTGTTTTTATTATTTTTAAGATTTTATAAGTATTGGATTCTTAGCTGTTGAACAAAAATTATTTTAATTTGTAAGGATACATAGGAAGATATGAAATTATTATGACATACTTTACAATATAATTTCTCATTTTCATATAATTATTTTTTTTTTTTTTTTTTTTTTTTTTTTTTTTTTTTTTTTTTTTTCAGATTTCCTTTACTAAACCAGCTCCTGGAGAGAAACCATTGTATACTATCATGGGACTTTGGGATCCAAATGAGCCAGTTTTTGAAATTTTGAATACAGAGACACCAAAAGGTACACATGAAAGCTATGGCCATTATTTGAAACTGTGTTCTCATTATTTGGAAGAATATAAACCCAGTAGTGGCAGAAGAAAGGCTAACGAAACAGTAATTGTTTGAAGTATCATTGAATATTTGAATAGTTTGTTTTCAGTAGGTGCTTGAAACTGTCATTTTTAGAAGCTAAAGACTTGAGGAAGGTTATGAATTCTGTATTTTTGGCCTTCATGTACGCTTTAGTTGCTTTATCAGTATCAATTGACAGGTGTTTAGTTAAACACAGTTAAAATAACTTCAGACAGTTTTTAATGCTTATTCAGTCCCATTGACAAGATAGGAAAAATAATCAGATTATGCAAACAAAAATAAACCATAGATTCTAAACAGGATTAAATATGGAAAAATTAATAAAGCAAATGCAAGTTAACACATTAAAAAAATCAGTACAGTCAAAAGTCTTTAATCCGGACTCGTCGGGACTTCGGTAATTCTGGATTATAGATCATCAGTTTAAATCTGGTAAGATGGCATGCAGAAATTATAAAATTAAAATATGAAACCGTAATTTATAAAATAATGAGCAATTATGATCTAAAGGGTATCAAAATTTACAAAAAAAAGCTTAATATTTATTTGTTTACTTTATTAAACATTTCTTTCAACGCTCGCATGTGTAAAGCATACATTATGCATAGCCGAAATTAGAAAATTGCAACCAGAAAACTATTTGATTTGTATTCGTGATATTTATAATGACGAGGACTTTGATTTAAATCATATCAAAAACGAAGTACATCGAGATGAAATACTACATTTAATGAGGAATTATGAGCCGAATAAAATAAAAACATCTGCCCTGAAGATAACGATAGTGTTGATAGATCAACTTCCAGTTCATTGCGTGCCGCCACGTTCCTCCTCCTTCCCGCATAGAGCAGCGTGAAATTGATAAACAGATTTCGGAACGGTTAGATAAACAAAGGATATGCCTTTATCCATTTTTTGGAGCAATTCCACTTTTTGTTTGATGGACATCGAAACATTCTTTCATTTTCATAGATCCTTTGGGAGCTCCAGCATCGGATATTCTATTTGACATAATCAAAAGTTCAAGCTTACTTTTATAAAATTGCTCTTACAGTCTGCAAAAAATAGTAAGCCGGATCCAATTCGAAGATTAAGGAACAACGCAATCATCAACATTAACTGAAATAGACAATTAGATAATTTTAGCTTATACCGTCCGTTATACATTAAACGCGCAGCGAAAACGTATTCTGCGCTTGTGCACACGCAAATGCGCAGTCGTAAAGGTCTTACGCGCATGCTTAAACGCCTATGTGCATGCGTCAAAGTGGCGCATGCGCAGAAAGTTTTTAGCTTTGAGGTCCGGATTATAGATCATTCCGGATTATGGGTGTCCGAATTAACGACTTTTGACTGTATATGTAAATGTATGAAATAGAAGATTTATCTGTCAAATAATACACTTGTGCTAAAAAAATAAGCAACAAACACTAAAAGAAAAGGTACAAATGTAAAACAGGGAATTAAAACATACGGTTTAAATCTGAAAAGAAAAGGCACAAATATAAATTTAAAAAACATACAATTTACAAATAAGCAACCAAAGTAGCATAAAATGCAATCTTGCAGTCACTCCACAATGCTTTAAAAAGGTTGTGTCAGACCCATGCGTCAGTTCATAAGCAATAATAGTTCCATGTAATCTCAGATAGCCAAAGTAGAGAGCATCAGCTCAAGACACCATTTGCACAATGAAATGCATTGGAAAGCTTTTGGGATGTTGTAACTTTGTGCAAGATAATCCACTGATGTGTACATGGATCTGGATGTTGGAGGATTACCACAATGGCAATCACTTCCTATTGCTATATGCAAGATGCAGTAGATCTGTAACAGCATGACAGCTGGCATTGCATCTTTAGCTGCTGCAAGACGGCCCACGTCACAAAGTGCAAAATGCAAATGGCAAATTCTCAACCTGAGTGAAGGAACAAAAATCAGATGCCTTGCCACGTAATATTTGAAACAAATCGGAGATATATTTCGTGCTTCATGAAGGTGGACCGTATGCCCAATGACCTGTGGTTTCTGTTCCTTTGTCCGCACTGCTTGTCACAGCGCTGTTGAACTGGGTCCATGAACAGCATAGTTGGTCACCAGAGCAGTGCGGCCACACACTCTTTACAGATGAGCCTCGATTTAACATCCAGAACAATTTCCAAAGGATAATGATATGGCGAGAGCCAGAGGCATGCTATTGGATTCCGAAACACCATGAAAAGACACCATTATAGAGGAGGACATTTACTTGTATGGAGTGGGATATAACAATCTCTACATGATTCCTGATGGTTCCATCACAGCCATCTGATATTGCAACGAAATTCTACACCCTCTTGTACATCCTTTTCTCCTATCACTGCAGTGGATATTGACATGATATTTATGGGTGGTAACGCCTACATAGAATCATTACCAAAGGATTGAGGGGTGCACAGTTATTTGAAGAGTAAAACCATTCCACATCTGGTGTGATCTGCTAGATCGCCAGACTTAAAATTCCAGAGCATGTGTGGGACATGTTGGGGTGATGAATAGAAGGTTGCAGTGGGCTGCTGGGCACCTTCCGTAAGCTCTGATATGCATTATTACAGGAATGAGCGTTATGGCCACAATAAGTGATCAGCGGCCCTATTGCCAGCTTGCCTTGTCATTGTCAAGCATACATTTCAGCTAGAGGTTATCTTACCCGTTATTAGCATGCTATTTCTGTAATGTATTCTTCCAATGCATTGGGTCTCTCCCAATGCGATGATTGTAATACATGTGTTTTTTTATGTCTTTATTTTATTATGTGCTATAAGGTGTAGTAATGCCACACCAACCTCTTGGATAAGTTGAATAATTTTGATAATTTTTATTTTATTCCGTGTTTTGCTTTTATTGCTTATTTTTTAACAGGAGTATATTATTTGATGGGAGGGAAGGAAAAATGTAATGCTTTGTTATAACAATTTTGCAAAATAAGCTCAAGTTTCAAGGTTTTATATTTTTATGTTTCTGCCAAGATTTGAATTCCTTTGTGCAAGCGTTGAATGAAATATGTTTGAATTTTCCATATTTAATCTATTATGAATTATTTTAAATATCACCATTTGATGAATAATTGATTTATAACCAATAAATAAGATTCATTACCTTGGAAAAAGGTTTCCAGCAGCAAAAATGTTGCATCCTCTAACTTTTGGAATTAAGATATTAAGTTTCCAAAATTGGTTTTTGATAATTTTCTTTTCTTTCTTTTTTTTCCTTCCCCCTTTTTTTAAATTAATGATTAAAAGTTCTAAAGTATTTTATTCAAGGAAAACGTGTATTTTGTGGGATTTGAAATATAATAAACACTTAATTTTTTTTTTTTTGTAAAAAATATTCTTGAAGTGTTGCAAAAACATATCTTCTGTTGGAAAATATTATAAATAAATGAATGTGATGTGTTATTCATAAAGTATATCATGGAAATTGTCAGATTCCATGATATACTTTATGAATAACCTAGATCAATGGTCGGTAAAGTGTGGCTCCAGAGCCGCATATGACTCTTTGGCTCCTTAAGTGCGGCTCTTGTACAAATATCCACGGAAGGCACAATATTTTCATTTAAAAAAAACTTAATGAGAAAAAAATTATATCTTATTTTGATAAATTAAAATTCTTCTATAAATCGAGAACATGTATAATTTTTTGTTTGAGTAAAAAGATAGATAGTTAATTAAAATTTTATATTGTTGTAAAAACATGTAACAAACATCGAGTTTAATTTTATTAGTTTTCGTAAGCGTAAACATAAACCATGTACAAGCTACCGGCATGCGCGTGCATGCTTTTTATAAAGCAGTGAAGGTACAAATTGGCATCACAGAACAGCAATTGCAGTGTGAACAGTTTTGTCTTATCTACCGTGTCTGCCATTGTCCTGTCTTATTAAAAAGTTGTATTTTTTAATCTAGCTGCATATCTTACAGGTATTTTTATATGATTTTATTACACCTGCTATGTATGTTTGTGGTTCCGGTACAAAATTTGTAATTGATTTTTCGATAACTTCTATTTGTCCAAATGTTGGAAGTTATCTTCCATTTTTGGTCATATTAAAAGTTTTGTTATTCTGATGATGGACTAGATTATTTTTTTCTTTCTAGTGCAGTTACATACATTCATAAAATTGTATTTTTTAAAAAGTTTCTTTTTTAATTTTTATTTTCATCAATTTAATAGTGATAATAATTTTGTACTGGTGGCTTTAGGAAAAAGATATATTTGGAATATTTTTATAGACACCCCAATTAACATGGCTACCAAAAAAAAAAAAAAAAAAAAGCAAAGAAAAATGGAAGATGAAAACTGCAAATTTAAAGTTGAGTGGACCGAGAATTTTGCGTTTATTCAAAACTTGAATGGACTTCTGACATGTCTTATTTGTAAGGAGAAATTCATGCATAACAAGAAGTCAAATTTAGAGAGATACTTTACTAGAAAGCATGTGTCATTTAGCACTAAAAAATCCTACCGGTGATGTAAGGAAGAAAGCAGTTGAGGAACTACAGAAGAGTCAAGAGTCGTCAACTTCTGTGTTTAATAACTGGATGCAATCTTCCAACAATATTAATATGGCAAGTTTTGTCTGTAGCCAAGAGATTGCTAAGAGAGGAGAACCGTACACAGACGGCGAATACATAAAAAATTGTTTTATAAATGCATCCAAAAAGCTATTTCGGGATTTTAAGAACAAAGATATTCTGAAAAGAATTAGAGTTACCATTGTCTGCCAAAACCATTAAAGATAGAACAATTAAAATGTGTTCGAATAGCATATCGAAGATCTGAAATTGGTTTCAGCTTTATCAATAGCAGTTGATGAGCGCATGCCGGTAGACATAAATGATACAGCGCAAGTTTCACTTTTTGTAAGATTTATGTCTCATTCAGACCCTAAAGAAGAACTTTTAGGATTATTGCCACTCAAAGGTCAGACGCGTGGAGAAGATATCGCCAATGCTGTAATTGAGTGTATGGATAAACATCATATTCCCCTCGATAAAATTGTGTTGATTTCAACAGATGGGGACAAAAGTATGACCGGCGTAAGAAAAGGGGTTGTTGCTATTATGAAAGAAAAAATTAATCACGAGATACTTATTTACCATTGTATCATTCACATTCACCAAGAAGCGCTTTGTGCGCAAACATTTCTGGAAGAAATTTGTAAAGTTATGAAATTAGTGATTACCATTATCAACTCCATTTTAGATAAAGCTCTTAATCATCGCCAATTCAAAGAATTTTTATTCAAAGGAGAAGTAATAACATTCGAAAACAAATTATACATTTTTGCACATGATTTTGAAAGAGAAACATTGTTTTACTTTCCAAGCCTGCTGTAGCATTGCCAAGGAAATAATTCCTCTGTTGATAAACACCATTTTAAAACAATAATTTTAAATATGAGGGAAGCATTTCTCAGCAGGTTTCAGGAATTTAAAAACAGCAGAGCAACTTTAGCATTTGTCAAAAATCCTCTTAATGCTACGATAAATGAGTTGAAATTTTCTCCATTTGAAATTGACATTGGTAGCTTTGAAATACAATTGCTGGATTTAAAAAAACGGAAATATTGGAAAATTAAAAATGTGATCTTAGTTCACAACACAAGTGGTCTGCTTTGAATGACCTGGAGAAGGAAGACATGATCATTTTCAACGCTTAGAATAGTATTTCTGACTCCTACAATCAGCTGAGAAAGCTCGCGTTTACTGTTCTTTCCCTTATTCTACACATATATCTGAACAATTTTTTCAAGCATGAACATTATCAAGAGTAAACTGAGAAGTCATCTGATGAGAACTTGCAATCATGCCTAAAATTAAAAACAACATACAAACCTGACTTACTCAAACTTTCCAAGGAGAGGCAAGCACATTGTTCGCATTAATAAAGATTTATTAAGTATTAAATTTAGTTTTATTTAGTGTAATAAAAGTTTACTAAACAAGCAGATTTGACTCCTAATTTTTTTAAGTGGTTGTAATATTCATATTTGGCTCTTTGGCTAATAAGCTTGCTGACCACTGACCTAGATAATAGTACCTAGATTGAACTTTACTTATTAAATATAAATATTTCAAAATTCAGGATATCAGAAGGTTTACTTTTTGTATCTAAAATATGATCTGAAAATTAATATAAATACTTATCTTAAACTTCAAGCATTGAAATTTCATATTTGTATTTTTTATTTTAATATGTTTAATGCAATTTAATATGTAATTAATCATAAGCTGTAAAAAGATATTTCCATTGCATTTGATTTAATTCAAAATTATTCCTTTGAAAAATATAAAAATTTTTGTTGATGTGTGTGTGTGTATTTGATTATGGCAAAGCACACGAGGGCTATCTGCCTAAGGGGGAGGGATGCCTTCGTGGAGGACTTTCTAAGGAAAACTGGCTTGTATACACGTTACACATGGGGAAAACCATGAAAACACCCATGCAGCCAGCCTGTTCACGGGATTCGAACCGCGCACCGAACTACCAGTGTTCAGTGATTTTACCGCTCGGCCGCTGGTGGGCAAATTTTTGTTGAATTTTCCTCCATTAAACAGGTTTTATGTAATCTGAAGTAGCAGTTATAATTTTGCTTATATCTCCTATTTATGATGCAATAAATACTTTTTTAGCATCAGTTATGTAAGTAAAGGTAAATACTGTAACATCAGTTATCATTAAAATGCCATTTTAAAACATATATGAAATACATTAATTTCTCAATTCAGTTATAGGTTATATAACCAGTGGTCTCAGACTGTGGCCTGTAAACTGCACGTGGCCCCCAAAGCAGTTTTATGTGGCCGGCGAAAACAATTACAAAATTGTTGTACAAGCAGCATTACAAAACTCAAGATTTTAATTATTTGAAGTCTGAGTTTACATTATTTTCATTATCATTAAAAGCTAACATGAATAACACATCAGAAGATCTATAAATGGAGTTGACTAATTTACGTGATATAAATCATATTCAAAAACTTTGAGATACGGATTTTATTAACTTTTATTCGTACTTATCAAAAATTAACTCAGTTACAAATTTTTGCGCTGATAGTAACTCTTTATTCAGGAGTACATTTATATGTGAAGAGTTTTTTTTTTTTTTTTAAGTTGAAAATTTATGAGAACAAAATTCAAATTCAAATAACCATTGAGCATCTACAATCCATGATGAAGATAATTTCTAGTAATTTCTCTTCAAAGCTACAAACTTTATCAAAATTGAAGGGCCACCTAGTGCCAAACTGTAGTAAGAAATAAGAGAAGATAATAACTATGACATAGAAGCATATGTTATTTTTATTCATGCATTGAAGAAAAATTTAATAAATAAGACTAAGTTGAGGACTAAGTTGTCATAATTTACTGTCAAGTTTTTTCCTACTTGGAAAATTTTCTGTGAAAAGTTAAGAAAGTTTTTGTAATTTTTTTTAATTAAATAAGTTATTTAAACAATTAATTAAACATGTTGAAACTACTTTAAATAAACTTTAATCTGAAAATTTAATATTTAGATGTCAATATAGTAGGATTGTAAAATGTTATGATAAAAATGTCTTGCAGATACCAAACTTGATATTTCAGGCAAAGTAAATATAAATTTGAATTTTTTCCTCTGCCATATTTTTATTATTGATTATGTAGGTTTTGCAAATTACTTTGCAAGATTTATTGAAAGTTTTTTATTTATTTATTTATTTATTTTTAAAATTTTTGTGAATTAAAAATTTGTAATTTTGTTAAAAAAAATTCTGGCCTGTCAGCTGTTGTCAGACCATGCATATGCTCTGCAGACTATTTAAGTTTGAGACCACTGATATAGACTGTGTAGAATTTTCCCAAAATTTTGTGCAGAAGTCATAATTGAAATATACTTTTTCTCTTCATTGCTAATTTAAAATGATAAAGCTGTGTTTTTATTTTTTTCCTTAAAACTTGCCCCCTTTTTTTAAATGAATAATAGTATTTTATGATTATTATTTAGCCTCAAAATAACCATTAATCTTTTAATTTTGTAGTTTATATACTTTATGATACCATTCTAAAATTTTATAATAGGCCGTATTCAAAAGTTTTCAATATATTAATAATTTTTCATGCAGTGATTTTTTTTCATTTTTGCAAACATAATTTTTTGAATGTGAACATTTAATATCTTTTCTTCAGACACTAGAGTGTACATGACTGTTGCTGCAGATCTGGTAATAGCAGGCATTCAGGAGCCTGTAAGATTTGTTATTGAAACTAAAGCGAAAATTTTCCCTCCATCTGAAAGGTTTTGGTATTTCTCAAAGAAAACATTATATGAGCAGTTTTACCTTACAGTCAGAGAGGTAACTATGTAGTATTCTTAAATATTATCTATTTACTTAAAAGGGAAGTATTTGTAAAAATACTTTTTTTTTTCATAATTTGTGTGTTTTTAAAATTAACCCGATAATCCAGTGCAACTGTTTAATGAAGTAGAGATGAAAATATTTTCTGAAAAGTATAAAAATGTTAATAATTAAGCAATATATTTTTTGGAGATTTCAAAAATTTCTGCTTTTTTTAAAACTGAGAATGACATTTAATAAAATATTTTCCATTTTTAAATGTAGTAATTTATCCTTCTCTTTTTAGAGTAAAATGTGAGATGAAAAGTCTTTTTTTAAGTAATATTATGATTTGAGAATACAGAATAGCATTGATCTCAAGTGTGGATTTCAAATAATGCTTAAACTAAAAAGAGAATTAAAATATGAAAAATTACCTACTGTTAATATAAAATCTTAAGTTATTTTAAACTTCTTGTCTTCTCATAAAAAAAGTGCTATAAAGTAGCAGAGTAACTAGGTAGGTGCAGTTTTCACACCTACTAAGCACTAACCAGGAATTTTTTGTACAGGGAGTGCTCTAAAATTTGTTGCCGAGAAAAATTAATCATACTTTTTCTGCATTATATCATTGTTGGAAGGATAAAATGTCACATCATATAGTAAGAATAAACTTTTTTTTTCATGGAAAATTTATTTCTTTATGCCAGGGTTGCTGATGAAAATTGTAGTTTTGCCTTTTGGGAATAGGGTAATAGAGTAAAATAAATTTTAACAGATTGCCGAGTTCAATTCAGACTCTACTGATAAAGATATGCTGCAGTGATAAAGTCTTTGACCTGCATATGGCACCATGTGTGCTTTGCAGGATGATAGAAGTAGTCTGCAATATGTGTGGAAAGGAAAGTGTCTTTTTTTTAATTGTGCCTGTAGATGCAACCTTATAGTTAGATCATTTTCAGTACCCTAGAGGATCAGTACATTTGGTACCCATATATATGAAATGTGTTAGCGTTTCAAAACCATAGCATACTTTATTTAGCTAATCAACTTTTAAATAGTTGCTATTTACTATAAAGGCAATCTGTTGTAAATCTCTGTAACTTCTGTAAAGTTTAATCTTTAGTGATACCATTAAATTGCAGTGCTTCAACAGTATCATTTTCTGTCAGCAGAAAGGGAATGCAACTTTTCTTAACTTAAACATGATCACAGACAAGTTTTTATCAATTTCAGCTTTAAGAAAATTCCTCTGTTTTGAAGTTATAGGTAGAAGAATTATCAAATGCAAGACAACCCATGCATTAGGATATGTATCTTATAAAGTGTGTATGTAAATGTAGATTAGCTTATCTCTAGAAATGAAATATTATACATTGCAAAATTCTGTGGTCATATCTTCAGGATTAATATCAGTTACATAGCTCTTTACTATATTCTTATTTTAAAGCTAATTTTTTAAAAACTACTGGGAGTGATTTTTACAAAACTTGGCATTTGGCATATTTGAGTCGTCGAATTGAAATATGGAAAAAAAAAATGGTATGTCATTTCAGAAAAAGTCCAATTTTGTGTCAAAATATCTACATTAGAACAACGTTATAGAAATTTAATACATATATTAAGTCGCACTTTCAGATATGAAAAACAAGTGAATTCCATTATGCCAGTAGAACAGAAGATTTAGAAAGTGCCCCCCCCTTTTTTTTTTTTTTTTTTTTTTTTTGCACAGTGTACATCTGTCTGTCTTCTCCCTGTCATGGTATGTGATAAATCTTAAATTTAATGTCTAGTAAATCTTAACTTGTTGATGATGTGAGAAATTTTCTTCTGCCAACAGTTATTTTTCATGCAAGATGAATAATAAACAGTACATTCCTGTATTTATTCTAGATTTGTGCTCCAAAGGCAAAATAAAAGAGTTTTGGATAATTTGAGTTCTGAAATTAAATGTTTTTGCCATCGGTCAAATGTGTAAAATGTGTAAAATGTGTGGTCTTTAAGGAAATGAAAATAAAGAATTGATCCAAATATATTTATAACTATGATAAATTCATTCAAATGTTGTTTAATGTTATGAGTTTGCAATTAATTATTTGTAACATTTTCATGTTGTATCATATCTAGACAATTATAGGTAATTAACCTATTTGAATGTTTTTCCTATTCACACTTTACAAATATTTTTAAGTGTGTATATTTTTTCATAGTGAAAAACAAACTCTTCAGTTTTTAGGGTTTTTATTATTATTAGTAAATTATTATTATTATTATTTTTTTTTATTTTTTTTTTTTTATTTTTTTTTTCTCTATTATATATTGGAAGGGTGAAGTTCAGATTTTTAAAATTGCTCTTGTTTTTAAGAGGTTTCTTTCTTCCATTTTTTTTTCATATCTGTTTTAATTATCAGATTGGTGTAGATACTAATGGTGATCATTCATTGCAAGTTGTGAGTGTAACAAGCACAACAAAACTTCAAAACAAAAAGCAGCTCTTAGTTTAAATATTGTAAATTCAGCTTCCAAGTCCACTAATGTGCCAACTCCATCTAGTCCTGAAGATCCTGATACACCATCTGGTAAGGAAATGTACTGAGAAATTTGTTTTATTTTTTGTTAATGCAATCATTAATTTTATAATTATCAACCGTTATTATCAATTGTGTTATGCTCATATAAGTTTTTAAGAAGATAAATTTGTGCGAGAATGACTGAGTGTACTTTATATCATTTATTATTTAAATTTTAACAAAATATAAATTTAAACTCATTAATAATTGCATACATATTAAACAAAACCTTAGTATCTTTTTTTTAAAAGTTAGAATTTAATTAAAATTAATTTTATTTTAATCATGGAGAAGTTTAGGTGAGTTGAAAGAGAAACCTGTATAAGACATTAAATTTGAACTTTCACAAAAGGAGGCCATACGCAACCTGCTGGAAAAATTATTATTATTTTAAAGAACTAGAAATAATAACGTTGTAAAAATTTTTACCTTGTAATTGTAGGCAAGAAAATTTAATTTTCCCCCTCACTATATTGTAAGATTTTAATTAAGCATAATCTGAAATTATACCTATTATAATTAAATATTTTTTTAGTTTCCTAAAATATCAGTTTATAATTTTTACCTTTAAAAAATTGACTTAAAGTTCTGTAGTTTTAAAAGTGATATCTCTGTATTTCATAGTGTTAAATATTTCCCAAGTAGCATAGTTTGGAGATAATGTAAACCATGTGAATTTTTAGTATTTTATAATATATAGTTTTGTTAATTTAATAAGCAAAACCCAAAATAAGTTTTTAAGTAAATATTAGCCGCTTTTGAAATATGAGAATAAATGTTAAAAGAATGAAAGTAAAGCACAGGGAAAATGTTATAGTTTTATTAACAGGTTCCTAACTAAGGTCAACTTTTAGAATGTATTTAATATTAATATAAATTTACTGGATAAAATATTTGCATGTAAAAAACATTTAAGCAAAAAAATTGAAAAATAATTATTTTTATGAAAGCTGAGTCATTTACCTATTTAAATTATATAAAACTAGTGTTTGTGATCTGTTCCAACTTTCTTATTAAGGTTGAACTTTCTCACCTGTAATGATAATACAGATGTCATCATAAGTTGTTGTTCCAGATCAATCGCAACTTGATGTTTTTACATCATCACTTATAAAACAGTTAAAATTCCATCTTTAATCCTGTATCTGTTTTTGCAGTAAATGAGTTTTTATTTATTTATTTATTTATTTATTTTTGTATGAAAATGTTTTATCAGTAAATAAATATTCTCTTGACAAGGCTTTTCCTTGCTTTGTGATTTGAATTTTATATACTTAATTAAGAAATCTGACCTAACTAGAAGTGTTTGTTTTACCTGAGATAATTGTTCATGCAGTTAAACAGATGAAGACAGAAATTCTTTAACACAATTACCTAGTGACCATTTCATTGTATCATATTACTGATAAAATTGCATATTGGTCAAAATTTTTATGTTATAGTGTCCTTTGGAAAATTAAAACATGTTGGTGTCTTTTAGTATCTCTTCCGCTATGAGAAGTAATACTGATTATAGTCTATCCTCCTTCTTTGTTAACTTCATTAACAAAATACCTGAATTTTCATTGGTATCATTTTTTTGTCAAAATATTTTTTTTACAAAGATATGATAAACTATCCAAGAAAATATCATTAAATCTCAATTTCAATAACCATGTGAATTTTGTCTTTGTCCATGCCTTTACCCTTAGGACCTGCAGAGACATGTAAACAAGAATATCTGTTAAGTTCTACATTTACCTTCAAATAACAGTAATACTTAGGTTAAATATTTTCACTTTGGTATAGCAATGAAATAAATTGAAATAAATGGGATGTAAATTTATCCTTTTAGCTAGAAAGTTTTGCTTTCAAAGGGCCACAGTTTTGTACCCCCAGCTTGTAAGTATTGGTTTCAAACTAATACATATTTGTCTATATGCATTCAGAAGCATTTGCTTCAGATAGATTGAAATTTATATCTAGGGTATGTAAGCACTAGTTGCAAAGTTGTATCTTAAATTACCAAGTGCTGGTTACAGAGAGACACAATTTTTTTGTTTACAAAAGCATAAAAAAATATAAGTGAATGCTATAAAATTAAAAGTGTATTTAAATTTATGCAGATGCTAACAAAGAAAAAATAAGTAAAATAAAGTGAAGATCATAAAACTGATAATATTGAAAACTGATAATATTGAATAAACTGCTTGTGCTAAAAACTGATACTCTGTTAAATAGTATGCTTTGTTTCTCATACAATTGTTTTTCATTTGTATTAAATTTGATATTTTTATATATGTATAGATAACGATGAACCACTTTTGAGTGGTACAGGAGGAGTAAGCAAAGATTGTACAGCAACAGAGCTAGAAGGTTGGTCTGAAGTTCTTTTGAAGTGGAGGCAGAACTTATCACAGAGGCCAAAGCATTTATCTAGTCTTGTAAGGCGTGGTATTCCTGAAGCTTTACGGGGAGAAGTCTGGCAACTTTTGGCTGGTTGTCATGATCAGAAGGAAATAATTGATACATATAAATCTCTCATAAATAAGGTAAATTTCATCAAAAAAGTTTTCTACTATCAGTATATGGTAGTTTCAAAATGTTCTGGGATCTATTTTGTATTGTTAAAACTGTAGTATGAAAACATTTTAATATAACCTGTCATCTTAAGAGTACTTCCTTCTGTACTCATAAAGCTCAGCTAATACCTGTTAAACTTTTCAAAATGTTTATGGAATTATGTGATGGCAATCTGAAACAAAGCAGGACATTTTGTTCCTTGCATTTCAGTCCCAGTATTTTGTCCCACCCATTAAATAGTTTCTTTTGTGCTAACATGTGAATAAGCATATGAAAATGAACATTTAATTTAGGACCTTCTATGATTGTACAAAGGTATGAATCCTTGGTTTGCAACTATCAGAATCTTGTTTTTCATATCTCCAAAAGTTTATCATTTCAGTAGAATTGTAGTAATGAAAAAGCGTGTCCATTTTATTCTAATTTTGCACAGGATTTGCTGGATATTATTTCATTCATTTCCTTCAAAATATTAATGCAGACTTAATAGCAAGGAAAATGAAATGATAGTTGCACTTTGCATAAAACTGACTGCTACAATAGTTTCAAGTTCAGGTTTGATAAGCATATTGCTGTCTAGCATATGATGGTGCATTATCCCTGAAGCTTAGGTCTTGCTTCCTGTACTAGATATGCATCATATTGAGGAACCCTGAAGCGTGTCACATGGAGAAAGGACTGAAAATGTTGAAAATTATCATTTAGGTTATGATACCAAAATGTCATGGATTCAAGCCTGTGTGCTCCATAAAGTCATCTTTTAGGCATCCTTTACTGGTCACAAAGTTTGAAGAACTGCTGCAGAAGTGGGACATCTGGAGTCACTCCCATATAGCCTAGGTTTCAGGTTTAACGCCCAGTGAGTGACTGTTCCCCCTCCCAACAAAAATTAAAGGAGCGTTCATCTGAAATGAGATTCTCTTCAGACAGTGATAAGAAAACAGCCACAGAGAACTGACTCAGGGCAGGAATATGATTTCTACTAAACCGGATTAAACATGCTAGTCCTGTGATCAGATAAATGCCTAAATAAATTTGGTGATTATGTGGGAAAATGACTGAATAATTTATACCCCTGGTGCTAACCTGGTGAATCAATGTTTTTTATTTTTTGCTTTAATCAGGTATGACTGTCAACATATGGCAACATGAGAAATGACTCGTGCAATGATGT